TGCTGCTCGCATTCTGATGAATACTTGGGTTTTAGGGTGCATGACGGGTGAGGTAATGTGGCCCCATGACTGTGATATTAGGGGTTCATTGGGGTAAATGCACTACCGAAAAGCACGTCTGAAAAGGCAACAGTCCATCTGAATTATGTCTGATTAGCGGATGTTTTGGGACACTTCGAGGGGTTACTCTATGATTTGTTTGCCATGCAGAACCAGTTGGCAACCAGCTTTCTAGGTATTTTCCCATGTCGTCTTTCATGTTTCAGCTTATTGGATGATAATGTCAGACATAGCAGCACCCAGTTGCGTTGGTAAGTAGGTAGCGTCACGACTAGCGACTTTTAAGCATAACATCAAAATTGCATTAAAGTTGGTGGCAGGAAACTCCCTGAACAAACTCACCCCTCTACAACCATGACCTCACGGCCTTGAAACCAATCAATGTTCGTTCCGGTCCGGTCCGCTTTTACGTTGGATTTCCAGATCAAATGGTCAGCTGATATATCGCTGCTCGCAATTGTCTAAACACAGCCATGCCCCTTAACTTCTGGCTGACAATCCTGGCAGGCAACCACGGTGGATTGGGGCTTTCCAGAGTGCAGCGAGGTTGATATGTGATTGCTAAGCCATGTTGTCTGAAATGAATTATTGCAAAATATGCCCTGTAATGAATCAGCGGCTGCCATGAACCCAAATTAGCTACTCTGTGCCAAGATGGGTCGCTTCAAACGTATGCAGAGATTTTATGGGAAACGTCGTCCCAACGGCGCATACATCAGGCGCAACGTGTATCCTTGAAGTATGACGTGACGTACCCCCCCCCCCCCCCCCCACACACACACACAACGCATTTTGAGAATCCACCTTCCTGATTCGAGATTCAGTTTCTTGATGGGCCGCACGACAATGATGTGAGAGGCCTTTTAGTGCATGTGCCCGCATGCACGTGGGCCCACAGAAGATGGTTGGCGATGTGTTGGCCTGTTTTCGACAGGGCTTTGAAACATTGCTGATGGGTCCTATGAAGAAATGGAGGGAAAAATGCAGTTTTTACTTGTTTTATTTTTACATACCCAAGGAAGAATAACGCTGTTTTCCAAGGGATGAACAGGTTATCTCAACTGCCTTTCATCCACCCACACGTTCGCCGTCCCTGCGTTCAAAACACAAAACAGGTGAAAGTAAACAGCACCACGCGGTGGCAGCGCCACCTGAGACCAGCGTCTGCGCTGGTGCTGCCACCTATTACCGGGTTTCCAACTCGGTGCTGATCGCCTCTGCGCACAACCAACAAGCTTCTTCAATTGACTGGTTCTCCAGTATCGCACCAGGAGTGCATCCAGTGTCAGCCCAGGGCAGCCCCATATCGAGAGCGGTGGTGGTGGTGATATGTCTCGTCTATTTCTTATCAAACGTGGCCACCGTCTACGCCCGTTGCCTACCGGTTGTACGTATGTTGCACGCTGGCGCTGCCGCTGAATGCTGAGCTGGCCCGTGCTGCCTTCTGTCACCAAAAGTGGCATCCCGCATCACGTGGAGTCATTATTTCACCAGGGCCGCTCAGTATTTACGCATTAGGGGACGTTACGCACTCAATAATTAAGGACCACGGGATGACCCACCAGGGACGCTTAGCATGTGTTCTTGTTTGGGTTTTGAGTTAGCAGTTTCAGTGCAAAGAAACATTGCATTCGCAGTTGGATTTTTACGAGTTGTTACACCAACAAACAGAAAAGGTAGGCAGTCTCATACTCTTAAACATAGATACCTGCTGCATGCCTAAATCTTGACTAAACATGGAATTGGCCAGCGTGTTCTGAGTACTACTTGTTAGTGGTGGTTCAGCGTTATTTGGAGCCTTTTCGTAGCGTTGAAAGCCAGCACCATTGACGCTCGTCGCTTGACGAGCTTTAACGAGAGGGAATCACCCGGGACCATTTTGTTCGGCAGCTATCATGTAATAAGAGCCGACACACCCACCGGGATCGCTCGCCTTGCATTGGCACGAGGTCAACCCAGCCCCCCCCCCCAGCCCCAGCCCCCACGATCGCCTTTTATGAGACGGCTTTGAGATGGACTTTTAGCGTGGCAGTTCAACTCAGTGGCATGATATCAATTTCTCACTCATTAATATGCAATGTCTGTCGGGACAGGGAAATGCCATTATTCCTCAGGGGGAGCCGCCATTTTTTGTGGCGCAATATTTATGCATGGTAGGGGTTACACGTGACGTTCTAAAAAATGTTGTCATCTATTGCTTGTTTTGGTATTTAGACGTGCAAAGCTTGCACGGAGAGATGGCCCCGTGTCGCCTGGGCAGGCAAATAGCCGGGCACTCTCTGATATTATGATATGCCCAAGACGCCATTTTTAGCCCCAGGGCACGTGATGCGGCGGTGGTGGGATGGAATCTTCACCACTGAGCTACTGGAATGCGGGACGGAGCGTGACACACGGAAGCGAATCGTTGTATGGGCGTGGATCGGCACGGCGCTTAAATGCAGGCAGCATACAGACGGGTGTTCCATCCCCTCACGTATTCGATTTTCTTTGTCATACTTGGCGCTACAGGTTTCCCTATGCCGCACGGGCGCCTATGAAACTATTATGTCTTGTCTTGAAACTTGTGTGTCTTGTGTGTTGCATATCTTGAAACTTGAATGTCCTGAAGGCAGCCTGTGCGTATTCTTCGAACACCATGGGCGCCCACTCAAAACACCAAGGTCACCCAAGCCCCCTCCCAGCGCCCCCCCCCCCCCCCACAATGGGATCCTTGGGATCCCTTTTATTCTTTACGACCTTTTTATCGCCCTCGTGACGTTTTTAGGCCTCAGGGACGCTTGTGATAAGGGTGTCCCTGCACCGGGCGCTTCTCCAGAATTTGGGGCATCATTTTATTTTAAGGGCGCCCTTCTAGCCCAATGGGTCATTTTCAGATATTAGAGGAAGTCATCGGAATTTTTTCCGTCCATTTAAACCATAGGAATAGTTCCAGGCCCTTTCAGCCCTTGGTATCAAAACTCTCAAGGATTTGTGTCTTTCTGTTGGCCTTTTTTGTCCTTTTGTTCTTTAAAGCGTTCCTCTATACGTGAGGACACATTTTCGGACTTCATCGACGCTGTTGGAGCCCTAAGGGATAATTTTCCTGGGATTTGGACGCCCTTCTGTTCTTAAAGGCGTTTTTCTTTACCCTCGGGACGCGTTTTCATACTCAGGGACGACCTATTGGCCACCGGCGTGCCCGTCCAGGTTGTGGGGTACCCAGACTCTAGCGCATCCTTCTAGACCTCGAAGCATATTTTTGGACTGCAGAAACATTGTTTACGTCTTCGGGGGCGCCCCAATATGGTTTGGGGCGCCGTTTGTTAAGAATAAATGCAACGGCACTCCTCTAGACTTTGGAACATAATGTCAAACGACAAGAACGCCTTTTTAGCTGTCGGGGGCACCCTCAAGGCATGGGACACTATTTTTTATTTTTACGTTTTTGATCCTGGTCCTGGGACATATCATAAAAGTCAGCGGCACCTTTTAAGCCCTCAGGGCGTCCCTCCAGGATTTGAGGCATCCTTTTATTCTGTGGAGCATTTTTATTACCGACGGGACGCCTCTCCAAGCTTCAAGGCGCCCTTTAAGCCACCTGGGACGGCTCTCCAATTCTAAGGGCGCCATTTTATTGTTACGGGCGTTGTTTTCCCCCGGGCAATTCTGCTACGGGAGCGCACCAAATGAGTCCTAAGAGGGCGCCCTGTCAGTCAAGGAGCTTTTGATGCCTTTCTATTTTTCAGAGCGTCTTTCTAGACTTCGGAACATTTTTCAGACCACATGAGCGTCCTTTCAGCCATCGGGAGCGACTTCTCTTCTCCCCCCCCCCCCCCCCCCCTCCTTCCGCTCCAAGGTTTCGGGGACCTTTGGATCTCCATGACTATTAAACATCTGTTCCGATCCGTGCCAAGCGTCTGCTTGGGAGCGCCGTCACAGATGTTCGCCTTCAGCGCCCATCCAGCGGCGCCTTAACTTTTCGATCGAGGGGGGGGGGCTCGTCCCCCAAGTGCCCCCTCTGGATCCGCCCCCATGTCTTCCTACCTGAAAAGTAATCTCAAAGTTGTACGGCAACGTCCAACACTTCATTGCCGCATCAGCTTGAAGGATTCCTAAGAAGTGTGTTTTCTACGCTCAGATGGCTTTGGTGGGCAACATTCGTTTCTATGAAATGCTCGTGCTGCGACATGTTTACTGCGCACCTCTCGTTACACGAAGCAGCAGAGGTTACTTTTATTCCTCATAGATGACAAAATACAACCGTACAGTAGCAGCATTTTGTTTGAGATGGTAACGTATCCATGTTCCATGCGTTTTATGCAGCCAATTTCGCCATTTGGAAGCTACTGTTGTAGAATGCCTTATCCATCTACATCAAGTTAGACAATTTTAGCCAGGTCCAGTGTGTGTCGATCATACCCCGCCTAGTGACAGACATTTAATTCTGACGCCTGGCAGCTGGACGTCACGAAATCGTCCATCATGTCGTTATCAAGGACAAATCACATGCACCAGGGACGACGGATGGGAGGGGGACCGCAGGGAGGGGGGGGGGGGCAGCTGCCCTTCCCACAACTCCGACCAACACTTAACATTAGCTCCATGGCGATGCATGGAAAGGATCGAAGTAAAAGGCACGATGAGCCTGTGACGTTAGGTGCTCTACCTCTTTGCATTAGTAGCGTGGTGCATCGTGATTTTTTGTGATAACTTAAGAGCGTTCGTTATGCGTAGATACTGTAAGTGGGACTGAGATTCGGCCTTTAAAAAATCCGGCCGCTCCCATCGCATATGCTGAATGCTCCTGCCTAGGAGTACAGTGTCAACAAGAACATGATGTTGGGTATCAGCTGATGACCGGCGACCGTCACCCTCAGGGGATGACTGCCATGCTGGTCCTAGGCGGGAAGTCTGCTCTCCAAAATTATCACATGTATGCCAGCAGCAAAGTCACTTAACACTAGCGATATGTCTGTATTCATCTACGTTGCAAGTGTCACCAAGATTACAAAATGGCAATGCACACGAACTCAACACAAATGACTAGCACTGTCCAACCAAGACCCGAATGTCAATAAACACCGCGTGCACATAAACCTAGACCCTGGCCTCCGTTGCGCGGCGACTTCACGTCCTCTACCACGCAATAGACGGGTAAAGTCGCCGCTCCCGCCGGCCAGCCGCGCCGTCACGGCACCGCCGATACTGCACCGCAGCACACGCGCGCCGGCCGCCGAGTCTGTGCTCTCGTGAGCAGCGATGTGACGCGTCTGAGACGAGTCAGACGCGCCCATCAGGCTCCCTCCCCTCAAAACCGGCCGTAAACAAGGGGGCGCGATGTAAGGCGACCCCGCAACAAAATGCTTAACGTAACAAGCGGCCGAGATCGCGTCACCATTCGTCAGACCAGGCATAAACGAGCTCGAAAACAAACGTAGCGATGATGAGGCGACAGGGCGATGACGAACTGAGGGAACTGGTGCTACAGGACCGTACATAATCAACGATGTGGCCAAGTTGATATCCAGCATGCGAGCAGATCAAAGCGAAACACTGTGCGCGCTCATGTACAATTGGAGAACACGTGGCGCTGTATACAGGTGTTCGTTGCACAAGTCAAAAGGATTTTCCTTTCCCACAACCCGCACCTTTTAGCGCCAGCCTTAATTGAGCTGCATTTGAACCAATCTATCAATCACATCCCTCCGGCCTAAACCTATCGAGGTTTCAAATCCCCTGTTTGGTGTGACTAGTAAGTGTTGTGCAGTGTGCGTGTGTGGTCACATCAGGCCAGCAAGCACGCGCCGGTAGCGACCGCGCCCAATCCTACTGTGTCACGGTGACATCGTCTAAGGAGATAGGGCGGCACCTGCTGATAAAATCTTCTTGGTTGCGTGCAGCATCCGCAGCAGAATTACCTTCTTAGGACATATTTCGGTGTCGCGTGGTGCTGATTACATGAACGACTGGTGGCGCAGCATATCAGTATTTCCATATTCCAACCGTTAACTAGACTTCGCTCATACCCCGCCATTCCCGTGAAATGCAATGCGTCACAGCCCCCTACCTAGTCTCCAAGCCAGCTGTGCACTTGCCGCAGCCAGGGCTGTGTGGAGCGTGCCGGCAGGACAGGACCTTGACCTGAGGAAGTGGACGGTCACCACCGGAAGCGCGCTCAACCATGTGTCAGATCTAGATCCCTACCACCACGCTCTCGTTGCCCATGTGCTTCGCAACGCGCTGGGCTCGCATCAAAGGCTTGAGGCCTCAGCATTCCGTCAAACGTGGTGACCTGGTGACCTGGTGACCTGCAGGTCAACCCGGCCGATCGAGAGCAGTAGTGCGTGACTAGATAATCCCGGAGTCGAAGTGCCTTCCTCGTCGGCAGCTAGCTAACAAACCAGTCCGGGGCCAGGTTTCCCACAGGATTACTGCAGTTTGTGTGCAAGACTCACAATTTGACCTTTTCACGATAATGCAGTTTTCAGGCTCTGTTCGCTGATCATTGGTTTCCAGCAGGCTCCGTGTTCAATGCATCCCCATAACGCCGTACGGTGGAAAGAGGCACACATATTATCAGAATGGCCGCAAATTTCATCAGCTTAGATCAAGACACAGTTAAGAGAGCATCCAAACCGCAGAACAGTCGCAAAACATATCGTAAACCAGATTTCGGCAGTGGCACCGATCTTGTCCATCTTGTCCACCTCGGTTTATATACACCAGTCGGCCAACACTCCACGCGTACGCTATCACGGGCACCTGTCAAAAATATATCATTCGCAAGGCGACCATCGGACGGACGTTTCACATGACAGGCATCTCTTCCCTTCAAAAAATACAGCCTCACGCTCATCCTATTTACAACAGACATGGTTTGTACTGTAACATTACATCGCTGCGTATAATGGGAAATGGACGGAGTCGATAGGGCCTTTGTCCTAGCTACTGGACGGATTATGTACACTTAACAGCACTTGAACCGGCAATGATTTGACTTCCAAATCACACCGAACTCGCAAAACGGATTCCATATTCAGATGCACAATCACAAGTCCTTTAAATTTATCAATGTTCAAAACTCGATGTCTTCAGTGATCCTCGGGGTTTCAGCTGGCCCGAATGTCTCGTCGCATGTCGGCGCCAGCTCATCCTCCTGACGTGGGGCGCTGGCGTCACCTGATTATTCCGCGCAGAACAGTAGAAGACATCGCATGCGCCAACCGTCTACAACTTCATGACGAGCTGCGACAGGATGTTGGAGTAGTTGTGCTCGACGCTCAGAGATGGCAGGCAGATCGACTCGCGGTCGCCGCCGCCCGGAATCTGCACCACCGACAAAATCTGCCGGCGACATCAACACAAGTTGGGGTTACTCTCAGCTGCTGCGACCTTGGTGAGCACGGTCATCAGAGCAGACATCGTCTTATAAAACAGTATACGGTGTGTTCTCCATTGTGCGATGCGGAAACACTGGACAGTTTGTTCCCCAATGCACGGTGCTGGCAGTGATAAGTCTTGAAGGGTCGAAATCTGTCGATGACGCAGCCGCGATCATGTTTTGTTGTTGATAGCGCTAAACATCATTAATCACCGAACATCATTGAGCAACGCATTGGTTCGCTTTCCGGTGCCTTTGCGCAGGTTAGATGGGCACGGAGCACGGGCACGGGCAATGGTTTACGTGTCGTATTGAGGAAAGGTACAGCCAAAGGTTGAACTGGAGACCCCCTCCCCCTCCCGCCACACCCCCCACCACCCCTCAAGGCCCGCATTGTCTTATCATAGATGGCTTCTGACCGAATGATAACAATCGACGCGGTGCTTTATCAGAGCTTCCCCACGCTCCCCCCCCCCCCCCCAACTCTTTCTCCAGGCTGTCTACGCTCACTGCATCCCCCTCTCCGTGTACAGCAGCCAGATGCCTGCCATTTGGTCCTTCACCGTCATTCGGCAATCACCCAGGGGCTCCCACCAGTATCGACCTTACCACACATGTAACGTCACTTCCGTCAAACTCTGTTTCAGAGCGCAACACGCCAGCAAAGGCAGGTAATGCGCCCTGTTTTTACCGATTCGGGCTGTGGGGTGGAGCATCAACACACCTGCTGCTCCAGCACTATATCAGTCACTGACGCTCCTCCCCTCCTCCCCCCCCCCCCCCCCCACATTGAACCGCTGGTGGACCGGCCGCGACAGCCGGGTGGGCGCGAAACAACTGCTGTGGTGGTAGCCTTTCCTGGAAGGCCATTGGCCAATGTTTACCCGACCCGCCGCTCTGCGGATAACTCCAAGTGCTGGAACCTGAAGGCAACCGTTTGTGTCTGATGCAATGTTGAATGCAAGGACGGCAAAAGCCCAGCAACTTGCACATATTAGCTTCCATGAAAATGTTTAAAGCGTTTTTTCATTTTATTTTTTCAGAACCAGCAAAAAGTCCGCTGACTTATTAAACTGGTGTAAGCCCTAAAGGAACCAAAAAGCAACAACAGAAACAAAAACAAAAACCATCATTCAGCCCAAAACACATCCCGAAGTGATCCAAGACATTGCCTCGATGGAAGTTTCAGCCACCCACCTCGTACTCACTCCTATCTGCTAGCGCCCGTATGATTGTCACAACACGAAGGAAAACCCTCTCGCAGAGAAGATAGCAAATGAATACGGGAAGAAGCATCCTGCAGCTGCCAACGTAATGAGCTATATGAACATGCGGTGGGCGCAACGTTTTAGAGCAAAACTTGTGGGCATGGTTCACCTTCCACAACGTGATCAACGGCATAACCCGTCAGCGGGCCCCCAGCATCGGTGGTAGTCAGGCTATCCGGCGCGCAAGTGAATCATCCACCAATCTGACCACGACGTCGTAATGCTGCTGCTCACTCGCAACCCGACGCTTGCACACACATTCTACACTGCGCCTTGCTTCAGAGCCCCCTGCGCCTTGGGTCAGCGCATTCATGACCTAGTTATCGCCGTATTCTGGCTGTCTGATCGGCGCCCGCCCACGTGCGGCCGTCACTTCAGCAGTACAAAGTGCACACACGTTACGGGTAACTGCGGACGCAGCTCGTTTCCGCTGCCCCCATAAGCGAGCCGCCTGGGAGGCAAGCGGCAGGTCCGAACGGTGCGGTCGATGCGTTATGGTAGCGCTCAGGCCATGCGACACAGCTACCGACGTGATACGCGCCGTGTGACACAGCTACTGTCGTGATACGTGCCGTGCGACACAGATACCGTCGTGATACGCGCCGTGCAACACAGCTACCGTCGTGATACGTGCCGTGCAACACAGCTACCGTCGTGATACGCGCCGTGCGACACAGCTACCGTCGTGATACGCGCCGTGCGACACAGCTACCATCGTGATACGCGCCGTGCGACACAGCCATCGTCGTGACTCGCGCCGTGCGACACAGCTATCGTCGTGATACGCGCTGCGTTCCCAAATGCGTGAGTGCGGGTGGCGTAGGTTGCGTGAGCTGGTGGAAAACGTTCTCGCGCTTTCAGTTGTAACGGACAAGAAAGAGCATCTGTGGATATGGACGAACACTGGGCATCACAATAGGGGAAAAAGCCATGGTGGAATGTAGAGAAAACTTCACTTGCTCGCTGATGTCGGCTCTGTTACACAATATCTTGTTTCGTGTGCTCGTAAACGACGTTGCTCGCTCGCAGGAAGTTCGTGCACGTTTCACCATGTTTATTTGGGATGCTACCACCGAGTGTGGCGTTTCCTAAAACTCGTTGAGGACAATGATTCACTCCATTGTCATGCACAGACCTTCGAAACATATAGACCGTGGTTGCATTTGGGCTAGGAGAATTAGAGTGAGCCTTTTATTGGGCAGAGGCGCCATCAAAAACATAAGGGACAGGGAAGACAGCAGTACAAAAAACATCACACTAAAGAATCCAAATGAGAATCCCTCTTCTCCAAAAACCGCAGTTTTCGCTTAGTTTTCAAAGATCGCCTGCATGACTTGCGTCTTATGTCACGGGATTACATCGGGCCTCTACATTTTGGTTCCAGCTGGTAATATCTATTCACGTAATTTTGGAGGACGTTATTGTGCGGCTGTCGCGGATGTGGAGCATATACAACTTTTTGGAATGCTAAAGCCGTCGTCCAATGGACTTGGACAATACTGAACAATGTTATGATGCATTACGCAGGAATGTGCTGACCAGCCTTGTTGAAGGCGTGGCATTTGACATTTGGGAGTTCCGCCGAACCAGACCATCACATGCTCCAAACTCAGACATGCATCGGGGAATTCGATGTCGCACTTGCATTCCACGGCAATCATGATGACTTTTCCCAGACAAAATGCGCTGTGACACCTAACAACATAACGAAAATTACTGCTCCCTAAAGGAATATAGGTTCCAGGAAAAACGGAGCGCCGTCTTGTTTGGTGCTGTTTCTATCATGAATATTTCATCCTCCGCAATTGGAAGTCAGCGAGGACACAACACTCCTGTGACTTAATCCTGGGATGGAGCCGATCATGGCTGGAGCCGCCAAATCATAATGGCCGACTTCGAGAGCCTAATGTTCGCAAAACTAGTCAGCTTTAATTTTGGGCGTACGTGGTCGAACACGGCAGGCACACCGCATTCCAACCCGATGTGTCAACCCTCACCCCTCACCTGCCCACCCCAGCAGCCGCACGGAGATCACACGTAATTATCGAATGGCGTGTTCAACTCGCAATCGCTGTCCATGCCATTCGGTCGTCAGCGCCTGGCTCGAAGCTAGCGCCGCCCGCGTCTGTCGAGAACCTGGAGTCGTCTCGAACACCTGCGAACGCTGGGCCTGGCGGCTAGCTCAGCCAATCGCAATCCGAGCTCGCCAAGACGTCACCGACCGTCCGAATATTTGCTAACCACAGCGTGTTAGCAAATTTTAAGGTGACGGAGCCGGGGTCGAGCTATCTCCAGCAGGCTGTGTTGGCGCACACACATCATCCTTGCTAGAGGCGCACACGCATCTTCCACGCATTGTTCTTGCTAACGAGCGGGGCAGATGAGTGGCGTTATCGGGAGGCGCTAGACGCCGACATTAGCTCAACTTGCCCTCTCACCTGATACCCTGCGTGATACCTTGTAAACTTGTGACTTCTTACATTGTGGTTCGTGATCAGTGTGACTAACGTGACCACCCAGCTGGTTTATGGCCCTGGGGCAATTTGTTCGCAAGACAGACCTTGTGTGTAATACAGGCACAAAACCCGAAGACAAAATCACTGTCAGATCAAGCACCAAGATCTGCGACAGCGAAACGGAGCAATAAGGGTCGCCATCATTACGGTTCGGGGACTTATCAGTTATTTCGCGCTGTATTAGGAGATGCGAAATAAACACCATCAAGACCTTTTCGCCACATGGAAAGCACGAGGTGATATAACAGACGACTATACAGACGTGACGATAACATTGGAATATGCTACTTGAGTGAGCTTAGTGGGAGGCGGTGCTCTGATGCTTAGCGTCCGTACATGAGACGTCTGTGGCTCAAATCAAGATACCTTTACTCATGGGCTTATATGGTTTGAATATGGACTGGCGTCCGGCCTGCCAATACCCGGCAATTAATCAACGTGGTGAATGAATTTGAAAATAAGCTTATTGTTGTGGTGACTGCCATGGAACTATTAAAAAAGCTAACATTTTTGGTGAGTATTGGCTACAGAAAACTAGGCTAAGTGCCAGCGTAGTTTCATGGCCCGATCTGTCTCTGTTTAGGCCATAGATTTGTATGTGATGCAGTTCACGGAAAAGGTGATGTAAGTTACTTCCCTGACTATTACTGGTGCGCCTGTGGGGAAGACAGTGCCGAGATCAGTCATGGCTTGTAGACGCCGCGTTCACCAGCGCCCAACAGCTGGTTTTGCGTGCCTTCCTGCTCTGGCTACCTAGACTGACATTTGCGAACGAGTACTCATGAGTCTGCACACAGTGACTCACACTTCTGCCAGAGCTACGGTTCGTTTTCTCCTCACTCAGTATAAACTCGTCTACGGGAACTAATGCGTTTTCCATGATCCTGGAACGCGGAGGTCAAATAGCGATGACATTGAAGTGTTGAGAAATTCGCCGACTTATTAAACAGCTCGCATTTAATTGTTCCAGTAGCACTTTGCATTAATTTCTTTTCGAAAAGCGTTCTGCTTATCGCTGTACATCTCACGACGGTCCTATCCGTAGTTTCAGAGACGCTCGCTAAATGTGCTGCCGGCCGGACCTGTTCGGGCCGTGCCGCTAAAGCTGCCAAATGTCCAGTTAGTCGGTGTTCAAAATCACTCCGTTTCTAGCCTCGCCAGTGATGATCCTTGGAAGAATAAAGATACTCTGCCCTTTGCTTACCATAGGCATCGTGTACACCAGGTAAGGTATCCTAAATATCACACCTGGTAAGGTGCCCTAAATATCACACCCACACCGCGATAGGTTGATCATTGGATGGCGATGATCGAGTAAACACAGGCGATTCTCTTGCGCCGTATCTTCTGGAGCTGGTATATATTGCCAAGTGGTCTTGGGGCTGAGCTATGGGGCCATGTGAATGAGTTGCACTATACAAGACCTCATTACCAATTAATTTGAGCAGTTCTAACCCAGAATTTCAGAGCTACAAAGCTTGGGGACCGACTGAAAAGATAGAGAAGCTGCAGAGATCGTAGTCGGAGCACAGTTCTCGGCTGCGTGGAAAACTCGCTTCCAAAATGCCAACTAATCGTTGACAACCAACTAAATGTCCCTTGTCGTTTCGGTAAAGGGTACATGTTCTCATATGGTGGTGAATATTTGCTCTCGCACTTGACCCCCTGAATGGTGGAGGAAATTAAAGCCGCATTTTCCACTCAATCCACAATTGCCTACCCGAAACCCGGTGGCGGTCACAGTATCCCTTATGTTTCACGCAGGGAATTTCTACAACCATCTCATTGATTCGTGTCGCACATGTGCTCTTTGCACCTGAACCGCACATTACCGAGACACGAGCACGGGTCCTCGGTTCTCATGTCGCGGATTTCAAACGAAAGGTGCACGCGCGAATGTCACCCGAGTCGGCAGTCCGTAACCCCCAATCGCGACCGGTGGCAAGGGGAGTCGCTCGCACCGGCGCGTCGGCACGAGCACCCTTCCCCCACCGCCGCAGTCGCGGCACGCCGCAACCCTCCCCCGCCCCCCCCCCCCCCCCCCCCCCACCGCCGGTGAGCGGGGCCACTCGCCCCTCCAGCGCGCCTCGCCCCCAGCGGCGGGCCTGGCGCGCCCGCCACGCCGGCCACGCCGCCGCGGGACGCCGCGTGCTCGATACGCCGCCGTCCATGGTCGATGTACTGCCGGCGCGCACGACCGCCGCTGCCGGCCGGCACTCACTATATATAGCGGCCTCGGGTCACTGGCCGACGACAGACAGCGCGTCCGACACCAGCCGCCGAAACGACCTCGTGGGTCGCACGGTCATACACGGCTGGACGGCTGTCATCAATTGGTAAACGGACGGAAGGACTCATCACTGTCGCGCGACCCGCGGTTTCCGCAGAAGCGTAGGGCGCCGAACGATTGCCCGGTACCCGCCTTTGCACGACTTTTGTCGAAGCTGATTTAAGTCACCCTGTGATACGGAAGAGGTAGATACCGCGACATCTGACCGCCGGTTGCTTGATGCCAGCGGTACCTTTAACCCCTGAATTCGTGTCTGGATTTTACCGGTCAAGGTATGCTCGGCTTCCTTCATAGAAATCTGCTTCAGACCCCCTCACGTGCGCTCGGATTACGGCAACATTTATATAGTTATGTTTGGTGCCAACGCCGATCCCGACCCTACAGGAGGTGTTCCTGTTACAACATGGTGTCGCGAAATTTGCTGTCGATACCGCTCCTGATTCCGATAATATAGATGATAAGCTCGACCCAGCGGTGCCATATGCTCAGGTCATCCAGGTCAACTCAGATAAAGTGAACAAGGTCGAGCTGCAATTCAAGCAAACACAGCAAACACCACACAAATCCGACCAGACAACAGTTTTCACTCTCCGGTAGCCAGCGAGCCCACGTCCCAACCCCACCGCATGCAGTCGCCAGCCCACCCTCACAAACGGGCCTGAGAGACCCATGGTGGCTCCTCTTCGCCCCGTTCACGTTCCACAAGGCCGGGCTGCCACTGTCAGGCAGCACCGCCCTCATGAGATGCATCAACAGCGCCAGTCGGCGGCCCCTCCTAGCACCGCTTGGCGGCAGCGGGCGCACCACTGGCACCAGCCAGCAACGCTCCCGGGGGAGGCCGCAGTCTCCGCCGTGCCGTGACGGCAGGCGTCGCATGCCGCCAAAGTGGACCTCACGTCCGCACTAATGAGCGGGAGCCTCTTATCTCTAGCACGTGTGCCAACATGCAATATGCATGGCCAGACAACACCGAGCAACTGTTTCCAACGGCACGAGCGGCGGGACACTCGAGTCGCCCAGCAAGTACACCGTGCAGCAGCCGCTTTTAGTGTTGAGCAAGCACCACGCTGTTTAAGGGGATTAAAAAACATGCATTCCTCTGACGAGTAAAGTCCTCACGACGGTGGGTTCGGCCGCAGTACGTTGATCAATGTAATCTTAAGCATGGATTAATTCACTGGTCCATGAGTGTCGGCGTGCAATTACTGTACGTGCGTGCATGCAATTTCAGCCTTTCAGCCTCAATGCCTGTTGTTACGCTTCATTACTACGACCACATTTAATGAATGAAGAAAGAGAGCTCCCCCATCAAGAGAGTCACTCACAACTGTGCATGTGATGTGCTTCTTCTTGGTCAGAGCTGGGCCGGACTGCCCCGGGCCGGGCTGGCTGCATGGGTCGCTCACCTGCGCACCCCTGTTGGCTGGGGTGTCGCGGGCCGGACTGGCTGCACGGGTCGCTCACCTGTGTGCCCCTGTTGGCTGGGGTACCGCAAGCCGGGCTGGCTGCACAGGTCGCTCACCTGTGTACTCCTGTTGGCTGGGGTGGCCGGACTGCCCCGGGCCGGGCTGGCTGCACAGGTCGCTCACCTGTGTACTCTTGTTAGCTGGGCTGTCGCGGGCCGGACTGGCTGCATGGGTCGCTCATCTGTGTGTGTGTGCCCCTGCTGCCTGGGGCGCCCGGTCCGCCGGTCCGCTCCGGCAGCAGCAGCAGGATGGAGTCGGACGCAGAGCTGGGTCGCTCACTTGTGTGCCCCTGTTGGCTGGGGCGCCCGGTCCGCCGGTCCGCTCCGGCAGCAGCGGCAGAATGGAGTCGGACGCAGAGCTGGGTCGCTCACCTGTGTGCCCCTGTTGGCTGGGGTGCCCGGTCCGCCGGTCCGCTCCGGCAGCAGCGGCAGGATGGAGTCGGACGCAGAGCTGGGTCGCTCACCTGTGTGCCCCTGTTGGCTGGGGTGCCCGGTCCGCCGGTCCGCTCCGGCAGCAGCGGCAGGATAGAGTCGGACGCAGAGCTGGGTCGCTCACCTGTGTGCCCCTGTTGGCTGGGGTGCCCGGTCCGTCGGTCCGCTCCGGCAGCAGCGGCAGAATGGAGTCGGACGCAGAGCTGGGTCGCTCACCTGTGTGCCCCTGTTGGCTGGGGTGCCCGGTCCGCCGGTCCGCTCCGGCAGCAGCGGCAGAATGGAGTCGGACGCAGAGCTGGACATGTACGGGTCATCGTCCAGCGATACCCTTGGCAACGATGACGTCTGCTTCTTCGGCCTGAAATGTACAATGTAGAGCGGTCAGCAATCATGGCTATTGTTACATTCTAACTCTCATGGCAGCTGACACGATAATTCCATTAGTACTCACACTCTTGTGAGTAGGATTTTCGTTATCCAGTTCAATGAAAATAAGAACATTATAACCAATGAGCCCTTCAACACCAAATGTTTGAAAATCTGACGTCAAGCTACCTTAAAGAACAGTCATTTTCGTTAACAACAAAGACTGGATTACCAAAAAATAGTTCATTATATTTCACGCAAACTGAACAGAAGCTGTTAAAAACATGTAGTGCACCGTACGCAATCACGTCTGTCTTTCTGAATGTGACGTTCGAATTACCCATCGGTACCAACCCGCCGGGGCAATCCCAAATAAAACACAAATGTGGCCGGTACTTCTCAAGGGCAAATACGGCTTAACCCAGTCCAAACAATGCATAAATCCACAATCAGGATGGGAAGATTCTTACCACCCTTCCTCCTCCTCGAACTACGGACAGACTTTGGTTCAGGCCCAGGGTTTATGTTGCTGTATGTGACTCCGGTCTCCGTTCGGCGCTCACGTTCCCCGCTTGACCCCGGCCATCCGTCCCCGGTCTCCGGTCTCCGTTCGGCGCTCACGTTCCCCGCTTGACCCCGGCCATCCGTCCCCGGTCTCCGGTCCCCGTTCGGTGCTCACCTACCCCGCTCAACGCCGACCATCCGTCCCCGGTCTCTGGCCTCTGTTTCGCGCTCACCTACCCCGCTTGACGCACGCCATTCGTTCGCGGTCTCCGGTACCGGTTCGGTGTTCACCTACCCCGCTTGATGACGGCCATCCGTGCCCGGTCTCCGGTCTCTGTCGGGCGCTCACCTGCCCCGCTTGATGACGGCCACTCGTCTCCGGTCGCTGGCCTGGTCCACGCCGTCGAACAGCGAGAAGAGCAGCTCGGTGTTGCCGACAGTGACGGTGCGGGTGCGCTCCTCCGGGCGGGCCTGACCGCGACACTCGGGCGGCGTGACGGGACGCACCTCTGCAGCGGCGGCGGCGCAGGGCAGAACACAGCGCTGGTCAGATAGATCCGCGGCAAGGAATCGGGTCATACAGGGCCCTAACCAATAGATGTGTCGGATAGGTCTGTAGCCCAAAGATGTGCCAGACTGGTTCGTAATCCATATATGTGTCAGACAGGTCCGTATTTCATGAATGTGTCAGGCAGGGCCTTATTCCAAGGTTGTGTCTGACAGGTCCTTATTCCATAGATATGTCAGACAGGTCCTTATTCCATAGATGTGTCAGGCAGGTCCTTATTCCATAGATGTGTTAGACAGGTCCTTATTCCATAGATGTGTTAGACAGGTCTTTGTTCCATGGATGTGTCAGACAGATCCTCATTCCATGGATGTGTCAGGCAGGTTTGTAACATGTCAAGGTTTTTTAGTTTGGAGCGTATGAGGTATGAGGTATGAGGAGCATTATGTGCGAGCATACGAGCATACCGGTATGTTCGTCTGAGGAGTATTACAAGTATGTTCCTATTTTTGGCTCGGCCACTCCATTTTTGAACGACCACTCCAGCTTGGAGTGGACACTGGGCGTTTCGTAGCCTGGCGACAGCGTTCGCCAGATGGCGCAGACAATTTGGGCTCGCCCACCCGACATCCAGTTGCCCCATGGTGTAATGGATAGCATACTGAACCGGCATTCAAGAATTTCGGGTTCGTGTTCCGGTTGGTGAACCTGAGTTTTACGCCCGATCTGGTGGGCGATAGCGCCGAGCATCAGAGCGGCCGGGATATCGCTCATCGCAGCAGCATTAGCTAAGTAACGCACAACCTCATATGAACATGTGTGTGCCACAGGGACGTAGATATGGACACACTCCTGTAACAGGTCAGGCAATGACAGGGCAATGTTCGCAGCATACAGGCAGACCATACAGGCATATACTGTGGGAGTCGGCTTAATGGTTGTAACGGAGCCTCGGATAGGTCGGGTTGGTCCAAAAACAGGGGCATCATGCTCGACAGATCTGTGACACAGGGGCAAGTTGGACAAGTTTGCAACTTAAGGATAGGTCAGACAGCTAGAGGTCACCTCGCAGCACAGATAGGTTTCCGCACGTCTTCGCACGTCGGTAACGGCACGTTCCAATGACTGTCACCCAAGGGCATGTGGCCGACTTTCTTGGCGTCTCGAAAAAACAAACATTACATTCGTCCTAAAGTCAAGATTTTGAACACCTTTACATCGGGGACAATATGAACGGCTCATTGAGACTGCATGCACTGGCTCACCGTTGAGGTCCTGCGCGTCCTTGGCCGTGGTGACCAGCGGCGGCAGCGAACCGCTGCTAGGGGACGTGCTGTTCGTGTTGGGCTGCTGCCAGAACGACTGGGGCAGCGCTCGCATCTTCATTGGCAGCGGCTCTGGCGACAGCAGCCGTGCCTCAGGCGCGCTCAGGATACACGACGGCATGCTCGGCCGGAAAACGAGCCGATGCACCAGCGGTGGCTGCACTTGCGCAAAGACGCATCTCATGCTTGGTACCAGGTCAGTCACAAAATCCGTCAGGGGTTTGGCTACTATTATCGGTAAACCGGTTATCGGTAAATCTGTATCGGTATCGGTTATTAGAAGTCCGAAGAGTGCGAGACTAGGTTTGCCATTGAAGTCAATATGATCGTGCCCGCACCGAAACTGTAACACCGTGAATGACCTGATAGTTCTCTTCCTTCCGCCGCTAGCTTCGTCAGAAGCTGCGTATCACTTAGGTTAGCTCGGAGATCGCTGCGCCACCGGGCACACGACTGCTGACGTCACTGGCACCGACCGTGCCAGAAGGCAAAGCGTCCGGTGTACCTCGCTAGAGGTGAGGGTGGTGGCTTATCAGTAACTCTACTGCTGTTTTGAGATGCTGCTGGAGACAAGTGGTCTGAAGATGTGAAATTAAAGATTCCAAAAACCAGATGTCGGTTTGAGGCCATCCTTTCTTCGTTTAACCATCATTTCAGCGATTCGGCCTAAATCGTTTTTCGTTAATATCGACCACGTCTCCGTGCTCGAACAAGGCACAACACTGCGTCTCTGGCAGAATAGCATGCATGCCACATACATGTCATATAGTCACATGCGTGTCATTTCCATGTCACATAGCACCGCGTTCTCTACAACGTGCTCCATAGCACCGCAGCCCTGACAATGTGTCACATAGCACCACAGCCAGTTTGCATGTATTCTGACGAATTTTCTTCGAGGACGATTCGTTGTCTGGGGGCAGCAGCCGTCGCCGCCGCATTCGCAATTTGCTAAAACTTCGCAGCGCACTTCAACTGAGGCCCCTCCTAAATAATCAAGACATACCGCACGCGGCAGCAGAAACACGAGTGGCGTTTGCGCCTTTACCGAGATTAAAATAAACGGTGCGGTGAGGCTCTGAAGTGTTTTCTGTTGTTGAAAGAGAATGTTCCAAATTTGAAAATATTAAAGCAAGCCTCAGATAAGATGAATTTAGTTCACTTTTAACTACAAGTGTACATTTAAGTGGAAAAACCTGGTTTAGACAGCACAATTTCTTTGCTTAGCAAGTATGCTCTTCAATGCACCATTGTTTGATTATGCCTTCGTATCTTGCACAACAATGATTGGGGACCAGTTAACGGCCGTTATATCTGGAAATCGCTCTCACGAACGTCAGATATAAGGACTTGGCAATCATACACTTAATGGCTTTGATCACTGCACGGCCAATGGAATGGCAGGAGTTGACAGGAGTTGAATCACATTGTTATGGTTTCATGGATACTCACTTCGCGAGTGCGCAGCTCAGAAACTATAACGGTTTACATCTTACGGATGGCAGGGATGTCAACTGCACCGAATGGTCTTCAAGATCGCCATTTCAGTCCAAAACTTCTTTCAAATGTGGAACCCTTCCTTGGCGGTACACATTCTGCACTGCTGTTCGCCTCCGACCGCACTCGAACCGAAATACGGGGGACATGGGAACACCCGTTCACCTGCCCCCTGGACTCAGTCGCCCAGGCGCCGCGGTGCTGGCTGGCCGGCATCAGACTCTGACCAAGCAGCGGCCGGAACAGAACGACCGAGGCTTGAGCTCAACCAGCCTAAGCCTCTAGCCACCTCCTGGCGCAGGTGCCACGTGTTTGTATGCCCCCCCCCCCCCCCCCCCCCCGCCGCTCCCATTCCATCCCCTGCCCATGCGCACGGCCCGGCCAGCCGCGGGCATCACACGTACCGCCGGACAATAGAGCGACTATCGATCGGTATCGGTCGGCCGGCCAGTCCGCCGGCCGCCCAGCGGAGGGACGGCGCGAACGCCGGCTGTGCGAGGGCAATATCCAGTCTCTGGTCCCCCCCCCCCCCCACGTGCAGGCACGGAACGCAGTCCGCACTTGTCGCTGGATCGAGATGGGTCCAGGTCACGACACGCACCGACAGTGACAGCATGGAGTTTGCGTCGCAGACGGCGGGCGGAGTGGACGCGAGGCGGAATAGACCAGAGACATCAGATGACTGCAGATGGGCGGACGGTGTATGGTGACCAGACGGAAGCCGCGCTGGCCATCAGTCAAGGCCGGTTAGCCATGCGACTCAAGTTGTTCTCAGATATACAGCCGGCGAACCGTCTTTAAGCAGCGCACCCGAGAGGTTCTGAAGTCTGCTGGGAAATCGGGGCACATCCGCTCCGTCCTCCCTACAGCCTCGGGGGCCAAACGAGCGATACGGAAGGAATTTGGGGTGAGGGTGGGATGGACGCTATAATAAGGAACTCTGTAAATTGTGAACCCATGGGTTGATGTTTTAAATGTCTCATCAGGTCGAATGCGCCAAACATTCGGCAATTTTACGTGGTTTGGCTCATTACACCAGCTGGTTGCCTCCTCTGACGGCAAAATAACAGCTAGACATTGACCATTGCAGCTGATGCAATCTACATTTGAGACATCAGAACACAAGCACTTGACAGGCCACTCTATACCATCGGTTTCATGCGGCTTCACCATTAACACGTGCACGATTGGCCGGTTAAATGCATCACGCTCGGGTGGCGAAGGAGTCAGTCTGTTCCCCTGCGAATAAAAAATTAAGAGAGCTAGAAACACCAAATTAAAAGAGTAGATAGGCTCTATGTGAAACAATTCGTGTCAAATTATTATGGCCATAGGTTGTGACCTTCGGGCAAAACAAGGTCAAACAAAAGTCTAACTTCAGACCGGTGTCTGAGGTGATCTCAGATCTCCTCGCGCAACCAGCCTCAATCTAGATACCACTTATGAGCAAATTGCCACTGTTGATTATCTGGTTAGTGACCTTTTCCGATCTTTAGAAGGTAAAAATGACCCAAATATTCGGGATTATTCTGATATATACATTTAAAATTGGTGCCAAGAACCACCCTACGCGGCACGTTCCCCAAAGCAAAAAGCTGATCGATGTAATGTTAGGCCAGTGACCACCTCCCTTGACCTCCATGAAGTTAAAATAAGGTTTTTTGACGTCGTTGTTATCATTGAACTCAAAATGGGTGTCAAAAACTGTCGCATAAAGTGAGCTTTCTAGTGATAATGCTGCCTGGTTTTGACATTGATCTGATCTCCATACCCGACGCAAGGTCAATAGAACTAACCATCGTTAGAATTTTAACAGCAGAACTTTCTAAGAAGTTATCTTAAAGTTGTACGACTTCGCCTAACACTACGTAAAGTTGTAACACTACCGACAATCATGACCTGAATGTGGTCTTTCATCAGCAACCGACCTTACAAGCTTTATCTAATTGTTGTATACGAAAATATCGGGTATTTAGTTGCCCACATCTATGCAAAGTTCTGTGCGGCAGCGCCGCACCATTCGGAAATTATTTCGGAAAAACCTTTGGGGTCAAATTCATACCATCCGAGCGCGTGTTGAAGTCCTAAGTGCTGTTTTCGCCAAACCCTTTCGTCATTATCAAGCGATTTTAGTCCTCTTGTAAGTCGGACTGAGCCCCAATTTAAAAATGACCAGAGCGCCGTGTGTGCGAACCTCTTTTTGCGACGATCCTCACAGAAACAGAAGGGCGAATTTCGCCCCTTTCCTTTCCTTCATGATCTGATGATCCATGTTTAAGCTGTATACAGAGGAAGTGCCAGCATCTCACCCTAATCCGTATTTCGGTTGTTTAGCCTGGCCCTCACTCTTCACTTCACAATATATGTCAAATTGTGACTTTTACGTATGTCCCCATGACAAGATGGAGCAGAATGGAGGAAGCCGCACGTATGTCATGAAGTTAGGCCATAGGGCTATGTCCATCAAAAGATCACTAAATTGGTAGTATTTCCGTTATCAGCCATGCGATGAGCTGGAAAGATGCTTTTTTTCGATGACCCTGCCCGTCGTAGAAAACAAACCCTTCAGCAGATCAACGAGCCACATTCCAAACCACACAAAGGGGAAGTCGCAGGGGCTCCCTGTCCTCCCTCAGAAAACGTGGACTCTGGGCATCCTGGAAAAACGAAAATGAGCGCACTCCACAGACGCCTCAATTGACATTGCGCACTGCAATCTCCCAAACGCGTCACGGCGGCATTGCAGCTGGACCCATCAATCATTCAATAAAATTATCGTCATGAAAATCGTCTGTGAAAGCCTCATCACCTTGCTGACCATAATTCCACCGTATAACGGTCGGGTGCAGGTATCAGCCCACCAGATGTCACCTTCTGATCCGTATCAGAACCCTAGCCTGACAGCTACATCCACCATGAGCTGCGTGACATGAGAGATGTCCGGACCGACGTCCGGATGGCGGAAATCACCGTCCAGCAGGATATGACATTTGCTGGACGGTCAACAAATCCCGTCTGATAATCCGGCTTCTAGTCTTCTCTAAGAGTACTCAGCTCTAAAAAGGCAAGCCAGTAATGATGAAGCTATTAGAGGAACGCATTGACATCCGAACATCATTGCGAGTACCTGTTCTCTATATGCAAGTGGCCACCTAAGAGCAGGCGTCTAATGCCGCGGGGAGGAGGCGTACCGGCATCCCTCCCAGCTTCCTGTCCTTAACCTTGCCAGACAGTTCCTTGAGCTTTGAAGTTAAAAGAGTAGGAACGTCAGAAGAAGCCTGTTTGTGTTCTGTAAAAGGTTGTGCCATACCACGCTATTCAGTCACCACCTCTATCATTGGGTACAGCCTAGATCTAGTTGAAAATTACACCAAATATGGCGCGTACCACGCTAATACCATTCTGAGCACCGGAGATAGCTTGGCAAGAGCGGACGTATCGACACTGCGCGCGTACCAGTGACCAGCAACTGCTATACTTTAGAGAACTTACAAACACAAGAGCAAACAAACCAACCTCTTCAAGCACAGGTTCAGATTACTGGGCTGATGAAATAACACAAAGCTTTGAAGACA